CGGCGCGGCCGCGGTGTTTTCCCTGGCTGGCAGCGCGGCAGCGGCTGGAGGCGGCGCTGCCCGAGCTTCCCGGGCTGGATGCGCAGCCGGGAGCCCGTCCCGCTGCTGGGCGCGATCCGCCTGCGGGGCTCGGGCTGCAGCCGGGCCGGTGACAGCCACGGCTGCGTGTGCGCCGCGGGCTGCATCAGGATCTGACCTGCGCTGGCCCGTTCCCGTACCCGGCTCCCCCGCCCCCGTGCGGAGCTGGACACGCGGGATGCCGTGTCTTGTGGCCATTCGCGTACCGCTAAGTTTTGAGCACGTCAGCGCATTTCTTTTTGCTACATAGGTTTGGATACCGATTCAGCAAATAAGCATTTGTAGTATTTTAAGCACACACTCAAGTTTCGGTAGCTGTGGTAGGGCATAAATACAATAAGATCACCGTAAATGTTTGTAAAATGCCTTCATGACATGAGTTGGACTTTAATCTCTGTGTATATAAACCATAAATCAAAAGGCAAATGATTATAGCTTTATATGAATGTAAAAGACTAAGAGTGTGATAGCCTATTCAGTAGAAACAGATCTCCCTGTTTGCTTCTGTCTCTTCATTTTCCTTTCCTATGTCAACACAGTCTCTAGCTTGTGCACTGCTCATCTTCTTTGCTTTTAATGAAATAATCTTTAGTAGAGAGAGGGAGTATGAGCCATTCACTTGAGTTGGACTCAGTGATCCTTGTGGGTCTTTTCTGGTTTAAAATATTCTATAACCCCTATGAGCTGAGCTGAGACAAGCCTTTTCTATACACTTTAGATTAAATTCTGGATAGAACATATCTAGAAATTATAGAGTACTAATGTAATATACTTTTATCAATCTTGTAGGTGTTGTAGACTTTTCATTTCATTTCCTTATATTATAAAATCTGTTTTACAGATAACATAGCAGTCTCTAGGTACTTGTCCTTTAAACTACCAGCTCCTATATTGATTGCAGTAAAGGAAATCCTTGCATTAATTACCTGGTTAATTCTCACTTCACTTCAAGGCCCACAGCTCTTATTGAGAGATCACTGGGGCCAAGCCCCTGTATCGGTGTGTTCCTCTGTTCCTGCCTGCCCTCCAACAGCTGTCATTTGCTTCTGCACCCATTTTTAGAAACTGACACTGCCCAGCGTGTCCTGTGTACTGTTTATTGGCAACTCAAGCCTTGCTTCCAATTCCCAGGGTAAAAGAGTCTACCTTAGAGGTTCATCAGCATTTCAGGATTTGTTAAGGAAGCTTGATACATGTTCTAGTTGTAAAATGTAAAAATGTTGGTTTTCTGTGGTTTAAAGTGTTTTCCCCAAGGTTGCTTAGGCTTAGAAGTGCTGTTTGAAAATGTGCTTTAAAAAATCTGTTGGCAGTTTAAATTCATGACACCAAGCCTTCCTTGCAATGATGGGATTTTCATATTGATTGCACTGAAAGATATTTTCAGACTGCATCTTCATGTATCATTTGTAAAAGAAATATTGGTGAAATCTGAGTCAGCTACACAAAACAAAACGTTTATTCTCTCAAATAAATAAGAAGTACTTCTAGCCATTGAGTTTTCTTTTGTCTTTTTAATATAACTCTTCTGTTTCAGAAAAGAATGAGCAGCATCTCTGGTGACCAGCTACAGTTTCCTAAACTGAAATGGTAATGTTTGCTTTAAGTTGCACTTGAAGTCAGTGGAATTACATCAACGTGTGAAATCGTTGGAACATACAGGCCTGCTGGACTGGGGTATTTGGAGACAAAAAATGAAACAAGAGCTGTGAGTGGCAGTCTGAAATAACTGTGTTTGAGAGGGCTGGAGTTTGCCCTTCCCTGCTTTCTGCTTCCTACACAGCTGTCGGAGCTGCTCTGAGTCAGCTTCTGAAGCCCCTGGTTTTCAGAGTATATTTAAAGGCACACGGGGATGATGCCAGGTTACAAGCTGCTGGCTCCAGATTCAATTCATTGAAGTCTGCGGTGTCCACAGAGAATGTTGTGAATAGTAATTTTATGCCAAGCTATTCCCACTCCTAAATCAGGCTCCTCAGTATGCACTGAGGCCTTGATTCTGCAAAACCTCTCGCATATCTCTAGCTTTGAAGAAGGCTCATTATCATTCATTATCATTATTCAGAACGGAGGAGCAACATTCTGGAGCAGATTTTACTGAAAGTCGCATTTATGGTTCTTTTCATTTAGCCACAGATTATTTCCTGCATTTTCATATCATCTTTTTACCCAGAAGAGAAACCTTTGGAAAGGTGAACAAGAACATGACGCATCATTAGCTTGCAGAATCCTGGCCAAGTTGTCTTGCAAATCTGGTGCTTCAAGTACCAGGTTGCTACCAGATTTTTGCTGCAGGGAGTTGCCTGGCTGCCAGCAGATGAGGAGTTAACTACAGCTCTGCTTTCCCATTCATCCATACCGATGCTTGGAGGCCAAGCTGCCAGAAATCTATCTCTTCCCAGAGACAGTGGGAGGAATATTTTAGTAAAGAGGATGCCCTAAGTGGGTGAACTCTCAGCCAAGAAAGTTTGTTGAGAAAATTTGATTTCCCTCTCAAAATGAATATGAAAAACCCTGTTGACTGCAACTGTGCTTATATTTACTACTGCACAAACCCAGCAGTTTTTCAGGGTATTTCACAGAATCACAGAATGTCCTGGGTTGGAAGGGACTTCAAAGATCATCTTGTTCCAAACCCCTTGCTATAGACAAGGGCACCTTCCACTAGACCAGGTTGCCCAAAGCCCCATCCAGCCTGGCCTTGAGCTCTTCCAGGGATAAGGCATCCACAGTTTCTCTGGGTAACTGTCGCTATTGGACACAAAACGAGCACACAGAAGCTTGGTAAGTTCAAAGGAAAAAAAGCACAAATTTTATTTCTGACCTCGCAATATATGAAATTCCAAAAGCGACAGTGGATTGGAGGATGAAATTGCCACCTCTCCAACCACACTGGTCAAACCAACCAGTCCATCAATTCTTTCCTCCCACAAAGAAGAATGCAAAACAATCTTTATCAACATGAACAGTGTATGAGAACTCCAGTAGAAATATGTAAACATCAGAAGGCATAGAAAACTTTTAAAATAACTTTAAAACTTTCAAAAGAACTATAAAAGAAAACTTAACACTTTTATAAATCAGGGCAACAGTAACCTGTTCCAGTGCCTCACCCTCTTCACAGTGATGAACTTCTTCCCCATATGTGATCTAAATCTACCCTTTTTCAGAGTAAAGCCATTATCCCTTGTCCTGTCACTACATGCCCTTTTAGTAAGTCCCTCTCCAGCTCTCTTTTAGACCCCCTTTAGATATAGGAAGTACCCTAATGTCTCCCTGGAATCTTCTCTTTTCCAGGCTGAAGAACTCCAACTCACTCAGCCTGTCTGCAAATGTGAGGGGCTTAGTCCTAGATTAAAATACTTCCTTGGACTAATGCCCCAGTAGAACCAAGTGAGATATTCACCTAGTTCAGGATAAAGTATATGCTTACATACATATGTTCTGTAGTCTATCTTGTGTAGTAGATATCAAGCATAAGTGTTCCCAAGTCTTCTGCTTGACAAATCCTTGAATAATACAGCATTAGTAATCTCAGGGCCATTTGTCACCTTAATCCCAGGGCAGAATTTGAAATTCAGGGATTGGAATTCAGAGGTTAGTTGGCAAGATTTTGTTTGTAAGGGTCCTGAGTTTGACTCCTTTCAGTGTACCTGTGACTACATCATTACAGTCTGTGGTGGGTTTACTGTTGGTCAAATGCCAATGTACCCCCTAGATTTACTCCTTTCCTGCTGTGAGATAGGTTTAGGAGGAAGGTAAAGCAGGATCAAAACTTTAAAAGGGTAAAGAAAACTTTATTAACTAAAAGAAAGAATAATAATAATCAGAATAAAACCTTTAGAACACTTCTCCCTCTCCTACAACATTTTCTTTCCCACTAACAAAGCACAGAAACAAGTCAGTCAGTTTATCACTTCTAGAACAATCTTTCTTCGGTTCACTTAGGGAGCGGAGTCCCTCTTGTCAATTTATGGAAATTTCTCCACAAGAAAACAGTTCTCTCGTGGCTTTTAATTTCCATGAACAGCAGTTGCCCAGAAATCTGCAATCATTAAGTCTCTCCCTTTTTTCACAGCTTTTACCACAGCTGTGTTCATGGGCCATGTCAATTTATGGGGTACTGTTTTAAGGATGAGCTGTTTAAGAGCAAAGGTTCTCCTTATTTATCTCTGAGATCATCTTCATCTCTGGGAACAGAGGTCTTCTTCTTTCTGGATGGGTAAAGGGTCTTCATCCATCTTCTCTCTCTGTTCAAACTTGTCATGTGATCACAGCTGCTTCAACATCTGCTTACTTTAGCATAAATGCCTTTGCTCATATCTAAATTTGAACCCTTTATTCCCCATACTTTTCAATGGGTTACAGGGGGGAAAAGAGTCAAATATTCTTCTCCATAGCTTTACAAGAGGATTTCAAGGTCAAGGCATCTCCTCATCCTTCCCATCTGGGACTTGACTCTTTCTTCACTAACCTTGGTGTATTCATGTTGTTCCTCTGCATGTCCTCACTCTGTCCTTTTCTCTCACTCAAGAGAGGATTGGTGTCTGTGGGTGTCATCTCTGCACTGAAAGAGTTTGTATCTCACCCGGGGCGTGCAGATGGTGACGTGATCCCTGCCAGGCAGCAATGCAGTCGTGATGATGGATTTGAGGCCACGCTGGGGGCTGTGTTGCAATCTCAAGGGGCCCAGAGTCCCCTTCGGTGCCAGGACAGCCCCTTGGCAGCTATTCAGAGAGGTATGTCCAGCTTTCTCAATGGTTTAACAGATTGTCAATTCTCAGGGCTAATTACTGGTAAGTTTTTGTCAGACGGAGGAAACTAGTAGCAGCTTCTCTTAGTCACTTCTGTGACTGGCTTCAATGCAAAGCCAGCACACTGGAGCATCCCACAAAGATCTTCTTGCACTCACGGGACTCACAGGCACCTTAGTGCTTCCTCCGTTTGTGTCTGGTCAAGGCTGAGATGTGCCTGAACCTCTTCTCACACTCAGGACACTTGTAGGGCCTCTCCCCACTGTGGATGCACCAGTGGGTGATGAGGTGGGAGTTGTGCTTAAAGCTCTTCCCGCAGTCAGGGTAGCAGAAAGGCCTCTCCTCTGAATGAATCCACTGGTGCAGGAAGAGATTTTCCCTACTCTGAAACCTCTTCTTGCATTCATCACACTCATAGGGCCTCTTCCCTGTATGGCTCCTCATGTGGACTGTCAGGTGGGAGGCCTTCTTGAAGCTCTTCTGACACACCTCACGCTTGTAGGGCCGTTCCTCAGTGTGGCTCTTCAGGTGGACAATTAGGTGGGACCTCTGGATGAAGCTATTCTCACACTCCTCACATGTGTAGGGCCGTTCCCCAGAGTGCATTTTCCAGTGCAGATCAGGGAGGATCTCTTGCTGAAGCTCTTCCCACATTTTGAGCATCTGTGGGACTTCTCATTGTGAAGCCCATGGACCCCCAGCTCCAAGTTCTGGCCACCTTCCCAGCCCAGAATGGGTTGTTGCTCCTCAGATCCCCACAATCTGCAGTCATTCCTTGTGTGGGATCTCTGGGACTTTTCCTCTCTGTTAGATCCTTGTGCCGTGGAGCCTCTCAAAACAGCCTCTTCCGCGAGGTTCTGACGCAAGTTTTTGTCCTACCTGGTCTCCATCCTCAATTCCTTCTAGAGTCAGAATCCAACCTGACACTCTGTTGGTCAGGATGTTGGTAGTAGTCCTATTAATTGGTGGCTGCAGTCCTCCTGCAGTGACAGATGCCTTCTGCTGAAGCAGTGATCCTGTAGAAGGGTGTAGGTTGCCTCTGAAGGTCCAGTGGTGGTGTAGATGGATCTGGTCTTCCTCTGGGGATCCTCTGGAAAAAGGCTGACTGTGGTGTTCCACAGCTCAGATTATATCCAGGTAGGAATGCTTGGCTCCTCCCTCTGGCCGGAGCTTCTCACAATGGGATTATGTACATTCGCAGGGAGACTCAAAGGCCCATTAATAGAAGATATCTTCCCGAGGGAGGATTGGTTGTGGAAGAGATAAAGAAAACTGCCCAATTAACACAAGATTACTGCCACACCTCAAACACATGGCGATGGAATACACACCCTCAGCTACATCTTGTAACAGTCTTTCCAGGCAAAACTATGTGTATGGATACATGCAGGCAATGGATTGTCAAAACTAGCTTGATTCTTGTTATGATTTTAAATACCTTTGAATTGAGTCTTCTGTCAGACAATCCAGTGTGATTGTGTTACAAATAAGAAATGTATTTTAAGAATTTTGTATGCACAAGCAAAAATACACTGCTTATTGTAACTGATAGTCCAATGAAAATGCATCCCAATTTAACTCCTTAATTTTGTCTGTGTCTTGACCTGTCATTTAGGGTGTAAAACACTGCTATCTGAGTATTCAACTGCAATCTTTCTGCTTCAGTAGGCTGTAAAGCCTCCCTTAGGGACATAGGTTTACAGCTAAGCTTTTAAAGTCTGTTAGCATCTTTGCAATAAAATTTCCTGTGCAAGAATCTACAGAACATGAGCATATGTGTATTTATGGATTTGTTCTCTGTGCTTAAGATTTATTTGTATTTTTATATATAAAATGGGTAAAGATCTTCAGCAAGGAGTGGATTAATAGTATTTTTAAATTTAACAAATGGTACCTGTATTCACTGAAATGCAAAAATGACACAAAGCCCCACCAACCAGCTGCCACTGCCAGCAACAAAAACCACTGTAGCCTTTCCACTGTCACTTCCTACATGCTTTTTGCCTGTGGCAAATCAGACCTTCATAAATGCCCATGAGCACTGTTTTCAGCTTTAAAGATTGTTCAACACAGTGTTTAGGAAAGAGGGAACTACTTCTGGTACTAAATACTTGCATGCAAAAAAGAACACCTGGAAGCCCAAGTTCTTTCAGAAGTAATTCCTAATGCTCAGTGAAGGGAATTAAACAAACAGCAAGGTTTATTCTGTCAGCTTCTTAGCAGGCTAACAAGAATTACTGCATGCTAAGAATCAGCTGCTTGGAAACTTAATGAATGTGGCAGCCAGGAAAGTATAAAACATGGCCAAGAGTTGCAAACCAGACATATATATAGGCTGTTGTGCAGAGAAACAAAGAGGATAGGGAAAATCTCTCCCTAAATCCAAGGTGGAAAGGCTTTGCTGCACCAGCATTTCCAAGCACTTTGACGGTGTAAAAGACTTTCTGTAAAGTATTGTGTCTGCTTCTAGAATTGTAATTCTATTCCCTTGTAGTTCTATTCTATGGGGATAATAATAGCAGAGAAGTATTTTTATATTTTTGCGTGTCTCTGCTGCGATTCAGTAACTGGAAACGGAGCCAAGTCCACCGAGCAGCCAGCTCTCCTTGGCCCACTGCTGCCTGGGCTGGCACCCATTGCCTGCAAATCTGCCCCCGAACCGGGCTCAGGTCCCAAAAATACCTTTTCAGCAGCATTGTTTAACCTCATTTTGCAAAACCAGAATGAGTGATACTAGTCAGCAAGAGTCCTAAATATTGATTTAATTAAAATCAATCCTTCCACTCCCCAGTTAATGAATGAAATGAAGTCACATGCCCTTGTGGATACTACTGATTTGTTGTATGGGTTACGAAGTTTTTGTCTGTAGTTGTTTCAGTTTTCAAGTGTTTTCAGAGCAGCAAGAGACTTAAAAGAGACAGCTGTGGTTTTTATGTAATAACATTATTTCCAGAGCTGGATCTTTGGGAAAAAAAACATTAAAAGTAGGACTTGAAATAGAGTCAAAAGAGTGAGTAAGCACACAGAAGAGATTGACATGAGTAAAGCAGGGCAGCTCCTGTGTGCCCCAGTGAGACGGGACATTACAGCAGAGGCTTTCCCTCACAGGTCAGGGGCAGGACCGCGGCTTTTCCCGGCTCCTGCTGCAGGAAGGAAGGATGGATGGACACCTGGGTGACCGTCCCCACGGAGCTGAGCGCAGTCACTGCGCACAGCCCGGGCAGCGAGCTCCTCGATCCTCCCCGGCCAACACATGGGCTCGCCTCTCAGTCTGTAAATTGTTCTTTTGTTTTGCAGGCTTTGCTGAACACGGTTTTATTTCATGTGACTGTGCTATTTACGGAGGAGTAAATATTGCCGGGGGTCTATTTAAAAAGGCCAATGACCTGGATTTTTTTTCCATTTGAATTATCTCCAAGAGTCAGACATGTTTAACAACTGATTTTACCCCCCTCCCTTGTTTCTGTAGACTGCAATAATTTCTAACATCTTAGATCAACACCAACTATAAAGACAAAGATTTTGAGTGAAATAAAACTGCATGTAGTATGAATGTGATCAGACAGTATGTGACCTTGCCATTTCTGGAAGAGCTGAATTCCATCCTGATTTACCAGTTGACAATGGAGCATGTTTTAAACCTCTGATTATAAACCATTTTGTACTGATGTAGTAATTTGAGTTTATAACACCGGTTTGTGTTATAATTATCAAATTAATTATAATTATCAAATTAATTATAATTATCAATTATCAAATGTATTTTCACAATTTTAAGTAAATAAACAAACAAGCCGTATTTTCAGAAAGGGAAGATTTAAACAGGCAAATGTTCTTTTTGCAACGGAAATAACAGTATCCCTTTGCTATTTAAGAAATAGAAAGTTGAACATTGCAGGGGAAATAGTGCTGTATTTTCACTCCCATAAAGAGCTTTGTGAATGTAAACAGGTAGCCAAATATCTGGAATATTTAATAGATTTGGGTATTCTTAGAAGTCGAGCCAACCATATATTTTTTTAATATATAGGTTTTCTTAACAGTATACAATGAGTTGATCACTGTAGTATAATAGGCTTCTACTTGAAATTTTGCTGTAGACATACTTATATTTACCCAGTCATGTAAAAGTATGAAAAGATAGAATTTTTGTACTGAATGCCATTTAATATATGTTCTGAACTCTGTGGTATTTACCATGTCATTAAAAGGCACCCTGGCTTCAGAGCAAAGTTGGCTTCAGAAGTCACAACCCACTTTTCCCCTGGAGAGGTGGAGCAGGTGGACAGGGATGGGATTCCTTCAGGCTGGTCTTACGACCATCACACCTGACTGCATTTCTTCAAAATTTCACCTTTCCTGGGGAAGGAATACAGGACAACACATAATTCAGTGCTCTGATAGCATAAATGATGTGCACATCTTCAGTGTTATTCTGGCTTGAACCACACCACACCGGGGAGTAGCCATGCTGCATGAGCTGCCCCATATATATGCACATGTTTGTATATTTATATATGCATTTACATATACAAGTTCTACCAGTCCTGCCTAATCCTTTGGGAAAATGCAAAGAAGGAATGGCAAATCTTCTTGCCCTGTTGATGTCTTAGGAGACGCATTTAGTTCAAGGTGTTGGGGAAAATATTCCGCATAGCTATTTGATATTTCTTCAAATGAAACAAAACTGATTTATTGGAAAAGCTTATTTACCAACAAAAAGGCCTTTCTTTAAGGTTTTCCAGTTAAGCCCACCACTTATTACTTCAGCCTTCTAATTTTTAGTGTCTCTTTTCAAACATTGGAGTTTACCAGCAGGTTATTTCATACTTTAAATAGATGTTGTCTTCTTTGAGTAAAAATTGGTGCTGTGAAATGGGCTGCAGTCAGTGACACCTACAGCCTCCACTAAGATGAGAGGTACAAGTGCACTTTCATTCTAAGTTGTAACATGTCTTCTTTGTATTGTATTACCTAACAATTCAGTTTTCAGATTCTAACCCAAGCCATCTTTTAAAAATAAATTAGCTACAGCCTTAATTAGCCAGCACTGGTCAGAACAGATCACTATGACTGTATATGCTACTCAATGTGCCTCTTTGTTAAAAAGTTGACAACTTGTAAGAAAAGAAAAAATTCAGACTATTTTCTCTCTTAATAGACCTCAGAACTCTCCGTGGTGAAGCAGAATAATTACAGTATAACTGAGCACCTGCTAGTTTCTTTCTAGATTATTAAATTATATGCATGTTCTCCTACAGGGGTATCTCAGGTTCCCCTTACATTTTTTCCTTTGCTTTAAAAACTGGTGGCCTGATTATTCTCTACTCTAGATTTTGGAGACCACAGAATTATCAAATTTAGTAAAAATTTGATAATCAAGTCATCAAATTTACATTGACATCATTAAGGAAAAACTCTTCAAATGAGCCCAAAGGTCAGATATTATAACTAAATGCTTAAGTTTCCATTTTCTGAAATTATTTTTTTAAATATTAAGTCTTGCCTAAAAAATTATATTGAAGTGGCTTTTGGGAAGTAAAGCCATGGTAGGGTATGAGCTGATGTATAAGTAAAGCTCAATGTTATTATAAGAGGATCAGTTCTAAACTGATTTCTGTAGTTTCTATAGTTAAAAAGGCCTTCCAGTTTTA